TCAGTCGGACCAAAAATAGCAGCAACCCTTCTTCACTCGACCCTCGATCCATTCGGGGGCTAATGACGGTGACATGTACCTAGGATAGGGTCCTAGGCCTGACCTATATGCCCTTCCCAAGGACTGGACACAAGAAGCCAAAACCTATAGAGTTAAAAGGAAGATACTGACTGGAATCCTCAAGAAGTGCAATGCACTCGACATGTGATTCCACTCGGATACCTCAATTCCACTCGACCGATGTTATTTCACTTGGAATACAAGAATCCACTCAGAAGACAGAAGACCTAGAGTCACCTCTGAATGACAACGGTCGGGCATTCACTCCGTAGCCATTAAGATCATTAATTACGGGCATTACCAGTAACGTGTGGGACTTAACTCACATTGAACCCTCGTGTAACTGGGGAGGGCAAGGGGCTGGCACACTCTATATAAGCCACCCCTCCCCTCAGGCACAAGGGTTCGCACCCCCTGTAACTTTTCCACACTTCAATCCACAAAGCCTCCCGAGGCACCGACACATAGAGATGTTACCTTCTCTGTGAGGGGCATGAACTCGTAAACTCGTGTGTGTACAACCTCGCCATAGCTAGGGCCTGACCCTTATCCTACGTACCCCCTACTTCTACTGTCAGACTCATTCCCACGACACCGATCTGCCGAGGAAGAGTAGGGCATGGGAGGCAATAGGGCCTCGACTCCTGTGAGCTGGTGCATGTCCCATGTCCTACTCTACCTCGCTGGTGGCTGGACCAACATTTGAACGGGCGCAACCGCTGGACATGGACACGACGGAGTCGGACGGGCTTCGCTTTTGATTTTTATTAGACTTCACATGAATGTAATAATATGGATATGAGGATTTGTTAATGGGGTATCCGACAGTGAAAACGATTTTTGTTGTGTTGGCTGGTCAATGTCTGCGCATGCGCCCAAGACGCGTCAGTGGGCATGGGCGTTTGGAGACCGGATTTTGCTACTTACGGTTGTAGATACTCTAATAAACCGAACACTAGATTAAAAGTACTCTTCTAATCCAGAGCTCAAATACTCCTCTATGAACAGTAAAGTAAAAAATAACCCCTTTTTTGAATGATTTTAACAACAAACTGCTTAGTTTTCTTACTGCGTGCAAATTTTTATGATGAAACCACATTAGTGGGGAGGCCTGAAAATAAAAATCAGCATTTCAAGATGCTTCCAATGATAGTCTTTCTGGAGCTTCAATTTTTTCGCCCGGAGCTACGCTTCTTCACGAAAATTTGCGCATATCTAGAACAGTCAATAATGTTTTGTGGAAAAAATGGATTTTTTTTAATTGCTTAACTGTTTTTTTATGTTTACTGTTCAGGAGTGCGCACTTGAGCACGGGAGCAAAAACTCCACGTCCCCTTGGCCCGTATTGCTTCAAGAACACCAATCTTCGTTGTCTTTCTGTAGGAATAGCAGAATCCATGACGCAAGTTCACTTTTGTTCTCTCGATGCCCTGGACATGCTAAAGGAAAAACGGTGTTCACAATTAACAACTAAAACATAAAAGAACAAAAAGACAACAAATACACAGCCCCTGCTAACGGCATCAAATAGCCGACTGCTAACAAATTAATGAAAACGTGAAACTGGAGTTCCAGAAAATGGGGGAGAAAATCTCTGTACAGCATGTTCCTGAAACTAAGCTGCAGAGAATTCCATGCTCACCTAATTAAGTTTTTTCTTGAAAATGTCCAGCAATTGCTGGCTATTTCATTGATTCATAGCAGGGAGAACATGATGAAGAAAACATGGTGCGTGACGGTCGTTGACCAAGGAGAAAAATGTAGAGAAAAATAAAAAGAGAGATGCCACTCATAATCTAAACTCTCATGGAGGATCCCCAAAGGGGCTCTCAATGCAGCTTGCTCCCGCAAGTCTCCAAAGTTCCAAAACACTTTGCAAATTTCTCACAATGTCCGGTGAAGATGCCACCTTGTTTTGGAACGTGCACCTGTTTCTCTCCTGCCAGATCTCCCAGCATACTGCAGGAAGCATGGTTTTGACTCCTTTTCGATCCCTTGGTGCCGCCCCGGTGATGATATCTCTGGTTATTGCCACTAGTTGTTTCTGGCTCCACTCATTCTTTGGCGTGAAAGTGGAGCAGCCACGCCATGTCGCCACTTGTTGCCATACACTCCAGGCCTTGGGGCACTCCCAGATGATGTGCTTGCTTGTTTCAAGATTTCTGTGGCATAGTTGGTAGAAATAGCCATTTGGCCAGCCCCGTCGCTGAAGTCTGTCATTTGACCAGACACGATTTTGCAGCAGCAGCCAGCAGAACATCTTTACCTTCCCTAGAGCCCATGCTTTCTAGATGATGCCTTCAAAAACTGAATTATGCCGACCCTGGAAATGCATCTTGTAGGCTGAACTTGCTGTGTATTCTCCTTTTGCCTCCATGTTCCACCGAATTTGGTCCCTCACTGCTCCATCTAACTGGATGTTTGCCTCTCGGATCCTTCGGTGCAGCTGCAGGAATTCAGGGAGTATCTGGCGGGTATCACCGTGCTCAAGGTCGTTGATCCATGCTTCATTTTGTAGAGCTTCTGAAACTGTCCTGTTTTTTCGCTTGGAGTGCTTGAACAGGGCTGGGTAGCTTTGGCCAAGCGTCTCCGGGCCAAGCCATGTTGATTGCCAGAAAGATGTTGTTGTACCATCTCCAATGGTGACCGTTGCTGCTGCAGCAAACAGGGCTCTGTCGACGTCGTCACATGGCGGTGGTGTGCCAACCCATGGCCTGTCCGGGTCTTTCCAGGCAATCCATAGCCATCGTAGCCGTAGTGCTCGACTAAAACTTTGCAGGTCCAGGATCCCCAGCCCTCCTTTGTCAGTTGGCGCACAAACTGTTGGCCAATTTACCTTGCAGCTGGCCCCTGTTGCTTCCTCCTCCTGCTTCCATAGGAAACGCCTACTGCACTTGTCTATTTCTTTGAGCAGTTTTGTTGGAACCCGCAGCACTGAGAGGGCAAAGGTGGGTATGGCGCTGAGCACATTGCGTACCAGCACTCTTCTGCTGCTTAGGGGGAGAAGGCGGCCTTTCCAACCTGCTAACCTAGCTCTAATTCGATCAATGAGGAACTGCAGATGCACTAATCTAATCCGTGCCGTTACTACCGGGAGCCCTAAGTATCTGACTGGGAAAGGGGCAACAGAACCTCCAAAACTCCCAAGGATCTCAGAGAGATCAAAGTGTTCACATCGGATCGGTGTTGTTGTTGATTTTGCCGCGTTGATATGCAACCCAGTGGCATTTCCGAACTCAGTTAGGATCTCCATGATAGTTTGCACTTCGTGTTGGTTCGGGTTTGCGAAGATTACTGCATCATCCGCATACAGGCTAACTTTAAGCTTGACTTCACGACCTGGAAGAGGGGCGATCAGATCGTGCTCCACTGCTGCTTTGAGAACTCTGTGTAGCGGATCGATGGCTAGGATGAAAAGGAGCGGTGACAGAGGCTCGCCCTGCCGCAGCCCTTTTTGGTGCACAATCTTCGGTCCCGGGACGCCATTGAGCAGAAAATTTGACGATGATGTGGATAGCAGTAGGGCAATCCAGTCACGCAATCGTGCACTAAAGCCTAACTGTTGTAGGAGCTCAAGCAGGTAATCCCAAGAGACGTTGTCGAAAGCCTTGGAGATGTCTAATTTTAGCAGCAGGGCCGGAGTTCTCTTTGCATGAAGTGCCTTAACACAGTTTTGCACATATAGGTAGCTATCATGTATGCATTTTGTCCTGAGGAACGCTGTCTGCGCCGGTGAGATCAAACTCGGGATCACCATTGCAAGGCGAAGCGAGAGCACTTTGGAGATCAGTTTCGCAATCGAATGCACTAAGCTAATCGGTCTGTAGTCGTTGATCGCTGCAGCACCATCTTTTTTAGGAAGAAGAACTACAGCAGCTGAGTTTAGCATGTGGAAATTATCCCCGGCTAGATGGTAGAACTGATGTAACGCAGTGAAGGCCTCAGACACCGAGTATCATCTCTTATTTGATTCATCCAATGTTAAGTGGATCAGAATGGTGCCAATCAGCGAAACCACGCATTTGCCAAAAAAAAAAACGAGACAATGCACAATGGTATTCAACAGTGTGAATCCAGCCACGAAATGATGTCCTTGATGGCGGTTGAAATCCGGTCGTCAGGCTCTCCCTCTAGGATAGAGTGGTAGGCACCTTCATAGAGCTTCAGGGTCTTGTCTTTCGTGTTGGCCTTCTCGTACAGAAATTGACTCACATGAGGGTCTGTTACCTGGTCTGCTGCTCCATGAAGAATCAACAATGGAGAACAAATCTGCAATAACATGTACGAAGTGTTTTACATTTTAGGTACTTCCAGAATAAGAAGAAATGAAAATGGTTGCTTCTTGATTCAGGTGATGCTCAAATAACATTGAGAAGGAAATCAGGTACATGAGAAAAAAGGTGCAAATGATACTGACTTTTTCCAATTGGGATTCGATGTCCTTGGTAGCCTTCAAAAGTTCAACTGCTGTCCTCAACCTCATCTGGTCATTATATGATATCGCGTTGTACTCACACTGAGAAGTGAAAACAGAGATGATCATGATCTATAGCATTTCAGTATTTCAATCATGGTGTACAATTCCTTTTTAAAGAGGTGTGCTCATTGTTGCAATAAATTATCTGATTACTACAAAAATGTGCACTAGAGGGGCAAATGTAGAAAAACCAAGTACCTTGCCACAAAAGAACGAACGAATGTGGAATATTCAACTAAGACAGGTGCCACTACTTGGATAATGTGCTACATACTAGGTATTACATTGCCTTGAAACAAACCAAGTTGAAGAAAATAAAAGGACATGGTCAAGGTACTTACTAATTTTCTTTTCACTGGATCCCTGAATCCCAAATCTCCTATGTCCTTTTGCGGAAATAACTTTGCTTCGGGAAGAAGGCATGATAATATGCTCAATGCCTTCAACACTAGTGCTGGTGGTGTTACATCTTCTGAAATCTTGCCAAATAGAAGTCAGAGCCTTGTAATAAAGATGGTGAATGCACCCAATGTCATTAGTTCAAATAGATGCAACAATAGTATAAAGGAGGTCCTCCATAGCACTTTTTTGTTGACAAATATCACTTTATTTTGATTTTCTATTCATGCATGATCATAACTGGTTGTTATAACATGCAGGAAAGATGGATGTCTGCAGATTGCTACTGTATATTCAAGTAAACTTTAAATTTACTTGACTAAGTAAGTATCATCAAGTGTTAACTCAACACAATTAGATTAATACAGTTACAAAAGCATAAGTTGCCATTAGAAAGGTTGTAAACACTAAACAGTGGCTTAGCTCCAAACAAGAGAATGTAATGTGATGCTAGATTTGATGAGTTACATTTAGAGTTTTATAATGCAGCTTATCTCCAAACAAGAGAATGTAATGAGATGCTAGATTTGACGAATTTCATCAAGAGTTCTTTATTTACCTTGCACATAGGCGCAACAAGAAGCACTCCATCCCATTCTTTTGGTTGCTTTAAGTGTACTTTCAGAGCAACCGCACCTCCCATTGACTGCCCCAAGAGAAAGTATGGGAGCCCTTGCACGTCTTTCCTTCCTAAACATTAGAAATCATTGCATTATGATGAAAATATTATATTGTTCCACAGAAGATATATTCCTCATTTACAAGAGATATCCATCAGAAACCTCTGATTCTCGCATATTGTTCAATGACATGGTCCACCATCCCATCGAAGCTTGCGATGTAGCCATGAAGACCATACGATAATCCAAAACCAGGATAATCCATAGCATATACTGCATATCCAGCAGCGGCTATTCTCTTAGCGACCCCTGCTATTTCCAAGCTAGTAAGATATAGATAAGAAAAAGGTGAAGCAAAGAGAACTCAACAGGGAACATAACAGAAGAGTAATCACCTTCAAAAAAGAAAGTGCAGGTATCTCCATACCCATGGCAGAAGAAAAGCGCTGCCTTGGTGGGAGTGCCCTCCCTAGGCAGCCAACTCTTCCAGAATATTTCAACTCCCTTTGAATTGGTCTCAAAATTCTACAGAAACAAGCACTACCACTTGTCACACAAAGGAAAAGAAGCTATAAAACAGTTCATCAAGATTCTAAGTGCCTGCTAATGTTAGTTTCTTTTTTAGGCTAGCTGCAAGTAATAGGCTAGCTGCAAGTAACACAATCATGCCATTCCTTGCAGTTCCTTGGTTTCCTCAATACTCCATGGGCGTGTACCTGATATTACTAGCTTAAGATACCGACCTTTTGATAGATGCCATCTTTCCAGCTTTACAACAGGAGAAGATGTTTGTGTCACCGTCTCACAGATACACTTGTGTAACAGATATATTGCATTTCCGCCAGGGAACTACTTGAACCAAATACAAGCAGCCTGAATACAAGGGAAGGTCAATTCAGAATCCCCATCATGTGCTTACCTCCCCCATCTGGATTCCTTTGGGCGCCATCTACAGGATGAGAAGTAGGAGACAAAAGGTGAGAAAATAAAGACCAACAGACATCGCATATCAATTGGAGATAATAGGGATTGAATAGTCGGAGATCATATCAACAATACCGACGAAACATGTTGCAACCCTCGGATGACATACGCTACAGAACCTATCACCTTTGGAACAAGATCGTGGCTCAAGCAACAGAGCAACTACATACTCCCTCCGTTCCAAAATAGATGACCCAACTTTGTACAAGTTGAGTCATCTATTTTGGAACGGAGAGAGTACAATGTGCATTTAAGTGTAGTGCTGCCCATGTGCATATCGCATTAAGGCGTAGGACTGCGCTAACCTAGACACGAGTGGCACACACGCAGTACAACTCTACAAAATAACACGCACACTCCGAAATCATGAGTAATTTCAGATCAGAAATGGTACTGCGTGTGAGTTCTAGTCCCGAGTCTCGACTACCCGGCGGCTTGAAACATGTTTGACTACTTTTGACCATTCGGAACCTTTACTGAAGCAAGCGCATGGTGAGCTAGTGAGAGGATCAAGCACAGCCGCCCCGAGCAAAGGGACAGGGAGCAGAGGCGGGACCTTGAACAGGCAGTGGTCGAGCGTGGGGAGCACGGGCGCGAAGGCGCCGCGCACGCGCCGGCGCGCCGGCGCCCAGTCGAGGCTCTGCGCCGCCGCGGCCCTCAGCTCCTCGCTGGCGCCCTCCAGCCGCGGCAACGGCGCCTTGCCCGCGGCGACCGCGACCGAGGCGCGCCTCACAGTTCCCGGCCGCGGCGCCCCGGCATGGCCCGGCCCCGCGATGCGCTGCAACTGCGAGATCGCCGCCATGTGATGCTTGCTCGAGCGGCGCGGTGGGCAGTAGGACACTTAGTACCTACAGACTCTGAGAGGAGAGGGAGAGGGACAGGGGGCAGTTGGGCAGGTTGGTGGCGTCGTCTCCTTGTCGAGACTGCCGGCTTGGAGCTGGAAGAGGGCTTTCCCTTTGTTCGACGGTTTGACCACTACGCCGTGCTCATGACGGTGAGTGTGTGTGTATGCGTGTGATTGAATGGGCTTAGACCTGGACCGGGCCGTGTCCATGGTTGCCCGCATGCAGCCCAACCAGGCCCGTATGGGATGTGCGCAGTCTGTTTGGTGCATGGGCTGCATGCGATTTGTGGACCGAACGGACCTTAAAGCTCGGCGCGGCCACGCGTGCGAGGGGGTTGGACGCCTCGGGCAACGCGGGAGACGGACGGGACGCCCCCTCGCGCATTGTTCTCACCGCTCCCTCTCTCCCTCACCGTCCCTCCCTCTCCTCTCCTTCGATGGCTCTGCCTCGCCCACCATCGCGCCGCCCTCTGACCCCCGTCGACCAGCGCATCGCCAGCATCCAGGAGCGCTTCCTGGCCGGGCTCCAGAACTCGGACCGGGACCTGGCGTCGGCGCTGTGAGCGTCGTCCCCCATCTGTTGCTGGCCACCACGAGTGTCGGTCAATGCGGTGCCGGTCGTTCCTGCTCCGCCGCCGATTCCGGAACTCGTGGTCCTGGGCTCGGCGCCGGCGCCATGCACGGAGCCGCCGCTTCTTGAGACCCCATTGGGCAGGGGGGTTTCTTGACCCCCGTCGAAGGGTTTTCTGGTGTCGGCGGGCCGTCCTCCTCGACCTCCGGCGTGGCGATGAGTACGGGGCCGATGCCGCAGGCCGTCGCCGGGGTCGGTTCCTCCTCTGCTCTGCTACCTCTCTCCTTCCCGCCGGGGTTTTCACCTCGGCCTCGGTTCGTTGCAGCTGCGCAAGCTTCGGTGAGTCAATCCCCTCAATGCTTGCTCGTAGATGTAGATTATGGGTTTATTTTCTTAGGCACGTGCTAGTAGTTAGTGGATTCGATCGGATTAGATAGGATTGGAGTAGATCCGATTGGATTTGATCCCAAGCGGACCGATCTGTTCTTGGTTCCTACAGTGTATGTCTTAGGATATTTTGTTTCTGCTACTGCTAGTGTGTCCTAGGATCTGTCATCATGCTAGTTAGTTGTGTTCATGCTAGGGTTTGTGTTGATTGCTATACGTGCATGTAGTAGGACCATTTTAGGATGATGCCAAATGTGCATGGCTGCACATGGATGCTATTGACACTTGCACTTGCTATTTTTAGATGTTTCCATGCATAGGATAGTGCATTGATCAGTGGACTTGCCCAACAGCAAGTGCCACTGATCAACGGCATTTGCTCATATCAGTGGCACTTGCTGTTGGGCAAGTGCACTGATCAGTGGCACTTGGCCATGAGCAAATGCCAGCAAGTGCCACTGATCAGTGCCATTTGGCCATGAGAAAATGCCACTGATCAGTGGCACTTGCTGTTGGGCAAATGCCACTGATCAGTGCCACTGAGTGCACTTGCCCAACAGCAAGTGCCACTGATATGAGCAAGTGCCACTGATTAGTGGCACTTGCTGTTGGGCAAGTTCACTGATCAGTGGCATTTGCTTGCTTGTTTGCTTTGTTTGATACTAATACTTGTCATGTTGCCTGACAAGATAATGAAGACTGACTGGGATGTGGCGGGTGGAGGAGCTCAGGTGGTGGCCGGAGCTAAGCGCACCGAGGATTTCATCCTCACGAACAGGTAGCCCAGGACAGTGGACCTACCCGGCAGGATCGCCTTCATGAGCCTGCCTTGTTCAAGGGGACGATCTCTGTCATGGATTTGTCACGGTAGATGTCCTTAGTGTAAGGACTTAGTCGTGAGGCCAATGCATCCATGTAATAGCTTGAGAGGTGTTGAGTGGGACGAGAGACGTGAGGTTTTACCCAGGTTCGGCCCCTCATGGTGGAGGTAAAATCCTACATCCTGCTTCATTGATATTGATGATGATGATCACGATTACAAGGGTGCTCTATCTCAAGAGCTATAGACTTGTCTGTCTAACCCTAACTTGTCTAACCTGTCCCTCTTGGGTGCCCTGACCCTCCTTATATAAGTTGAAGGGGCGGCTTACATGATTAGTCCTAGTAGGATTAGGATTACTTTATTACAAGTGGAGTCCTAGTCTTGCTTCCTTTGTAAGGGAATATTCCTTACGCCTTTCTTCTTCAAGTCGGCCTACCATAACGTGAGCCGGCCTTCTAGGCCTCCGGGTCTTGTCACTCCTCTGACCCACCTACTGGGTCACCAATGAGTCACCTGGTCCGGCCGGGTCATGAGTGAATGGAGATGCTCGGGCGGGTCACTTAGTGAGTCGCCAAGTCAGGGCGGGTCACTTGAGTCTCCAAGTCCGGCCAGGCCATACTTCCGGCCGGTTCATACCGCGGGGTATATCCCCGACATTAGCCACCAGTTTAATTTGGATTTATCCATGTTAAACTGATCCTACAAGATAAACACAAGAACAAATTTAACAGGTTGTGCTCTGGGTTAAAAAAATTCTAAGCTGGTACCTGATCATCCTTAAGTCCTTGTCATTTCCTCCTTGATACGTGTCCATGATCTCATAGCAAATCTCCTTTAGCAGATATGTTCAAACTTTGCCAATGCAAAAAATCTGAGCACTTCTTCTGAAAAATCCGTGTCAATAGGCCAGCTTCATAGTCAATTTGCTGACATTGGCTCTTGTAAAGAGATATTATAAGAAATAATCCATTTGAGTCGGCCTTCAATGCTTTGACTTGACAAAAATATCGGTCTTGAAATATTCAACTGATATCCAGCCGGCTTAAAGATGTAGATCTGGTTTGTTTTAAAGAACTGAGAACTTGAAGATGTTCCTCCATTATATTCATGTCACCTGTAGCCCCCAAGTCTTAAGAAGGGAGCGTAGTAATAGCTTAAGACTTGCTTCAATATAAATGTTGCAACCTTGAAGAAATCCAAGTTGCTCATCTCAGTCACTAGTCAAAACTGAATATTCGACATATGTAGCCCCAAGTGTCGGGTTGTCATGCTTGCAGCAACCTGGGACTTGTAATTGCCTTATGCTCATAAAATTTTCAACAAGTGTAGCCCCTAAGGGCCGGGTCCTTATGCAATAATGAGCAGAGACTTTGTAGATATGATCATGTAGACTTGAACAACAACGCGTAGCCCCCAAGGGTCGGCTCAGTAAGATAATACTAAGCTGGGACTTTATATATACTTCATTGAAAATAACATCATATGATGTAACCCCCACCATGGGGCTCAAACCCACGTCCATAAGGTTAAGAGCTTTGTACTCTACCAACTAAGCAGTGGACCCTTCAATATAATGAATTAAGGCTTGTGTACCTTGAATTTTTGACAGGAGCAATTGTAGCCCCCAAGGGCCGGCCCATTACAATACGATGAGTCGGGTCTTCAATAAGGCGAGCAAAAAATAACTTTGCATTAGCCCCCAAGTGCCATGGTGCATGCTGGCAGTGACATGGGACTTGCATATCTGATGTAATCTCAACTTGAATATGTAGCCCCCAAGTGTCGGGTCATAAGCCTGCAGTGACTCGAGACTATTCTTTCCATTGCAGAATAAATCATATTCATTGATAAATAAATAATAGCCATTGCGCTGAAGCGACTTTGAAAAACTCAATCATAATACTAGTTATTGATAACCATAATAAAAATCTAGCCATGTTCGCTATTCAAGATTTGAATAATATAATCCGGTATGAAAACCTCAACCATTCAATATCATCATGAAAATCCAGCCAAGTTTGGCTATCAAATATTTGAATACCTTATCGGTTGACAAGTAAATATGAAGTTTTAAATACCCAGCGGCTCATGGCCGATGGCGACTTAATACACATCCATTGTAATTCGAGGATTTTTGTAACCCGACGGCTTATAGCCTTTATGAAAATCAATAATTGATAACCCTTTTGAAACACCAATTTCAATTTTGATGATGGGCTTGAACTTAATCATTTATATAAGTCATAGCTCTGCAAATCCTGCACAGAGTTTAAACAACATATGATCTGGCGACTTAACATCAAAAGCCAGGGCGGGTAACAACCCAAACATAATATAGCCTTACGCAATTATGGAAAAAACTAGCATCAAGGCCATTCAAACCTAAACATACTGGCGACTTATCGTCAAAAGCCAGGGTGGGTTATCAAACCTCGCATATTTATATAACCAGAAAAACATACCTGTAGAATTGGCTCATACTGCCGGCTTACATCGCCATATCCAATAAGGGCAATAATCCAATGATTTATAAGCGCATGATTCCAATGGCGCAATCCAAAATATACTGGCGACTTAAAAGTCCATAGCCAGGGTGGTTTACCAAAACCAAAATATCCATACCATTATTGAAAGACATACCTATAGATTAATACCATGGTGATGCCTTGATAATTATAATCCGGAGCCAGTATCAACCCGGAGTCATGAAATATCCTCATTTTCATTGCTCAAGGCAAAATATCTTGGCGAATGTGCAGTAAGGGTTACAAACCAAAGATTGAGAGCAGAATGCCATGTTCAATTGATTTATACCACCGGCTTATCACGCCATATGCAGCAAGGGTGATAACTCAAAACTTAGAAGCCAATACTTCCAAGTATTTTAATATCATCATATACTGGCGACTTAAAGCCAGGCCGGGTTAACAGAAACCACGGGTATGCTTCAAATATGAGCTGTTAGAATTGAGGCTACATGGCCTGAATCACTGTAAACCATATGTCAAGATGGTATCAAGATGAACCGAAAAAATGTTCAAAAAACCAAGCAAAACGAGAAAACGAGGCTATGCTTCGAATACGAGCAGGAAGCCAGACCAAAAGGGTTATTTCATAGCTATGCTTCGAATACAAGCAAGAAGCCGGACCAAAAGGGTTATTTCATAGCTATGCTTC